TTTTGTTCCAGGAAAGAATTATTTCCGAAATCATACTTGTGGTACTTATGGCTTATGGTCATTTTCTCTTTTATTCCAGGAAAGAATTATTTCCTTCAGGAACGAAATCAGTTTACTAATGGTACTTATGGCGTATGGTCATTTTCTTTTTAATTCCAGGAAAGAATTATTCCCTTCAGGAACAAAATCAAAATACTTTTATTTGTTCATCGCTATGAGTAGACAAATAACGTTCTGATACTTTAAATCTTCTAGAACCAGAAATAGATGCGATGTAAAGCCTTTTAGTTTTCATTAAGCATAACCATATACAACCATATCTAGATAAAAAAGAGAGACAAAGAGATGACAGTTCACAGACTTGTAAAACTCCTTTATTTGTTGAAAAAGGTTGACTCTTTTTTCCATTATAGCGAAGAGATCTGTCAATGTAGTATATTGTCACAGAGAACTTTTAGCATTCAATGTGTGTTTATGCTTACTATATCAGTGCTCTATAAACTCTATAAAGACACGTGAAAAAACTTCAATACAACTGATTGTTTTAAAAATTTGATGAAATCTATTCGAACTCACCGAATTAATATTTAAAATATCTGGTTAAATCTATTAAGTCAAACATTAACTACTGTAAATTTATATTAAATTGAAGTAATAAGACAGTACACACTCTGTTATTACTGTTTGATTAATATATTTCTAAGGACATGAGGTATTGGGTAGCTATAGTTACAGTACACATGGGAGTGAACTTTTTTATGCCTGACAAGTAACTGACCTTACAAATACAATGTGAGCCAAAACAATTATTGCCTTCAGGTTTCAATTTCTAGAAACGAGCAGGTCTACAATCTAGAGTAATTTCTGTTTACATACGACAAAATCTTGTTTAGACCTTCCATGAGGACTAATTAAGTTTGTTTAAACTTGTTTTGACATTTGGTATCATCAATCAATATGTTAATATATTATTATTGTATGTTATTTATTCTGACAGCCAGGCTGATTTTAAAACTCTGATTTCTTGGACTTTCAAGTCGAAACAGATTCTTGAGTGTTATGAGCATCTACAGTTACTTGCAGCTCGGAATAAGGTAAGTTTTTACTAAGTTCCGGGTCACAGGGGATTTTTGTAAAGTGAACAAGTTGATAAGCTAGACAGAACTACATTAAAAACTGCTTTTACAGATCCTCAACCCTTTTGTGGGTTAAACTGGGCCAGTAGAAAACAAATAATCAAGGAGGGAGAATCATATGCGGCTGGTGTACTGAGAAGACTTTCCAGAATTTAGAGAGTGCAAAGCACTGATCAAACTGTACTCCAGCAAAAATATTCTTAAATTCTCTAAAGGTAATTTAAAAGGTTGTTCAAATATCACCTAAACTTCAATTATCTGCTAATTCGAAATGCGGATAATGCCTTAAAGATGAGGAAACAATCATACATATTCTTTGTGATTGTCCATCTGTAACAATACACAGATGAAACTTGTTTCATGTGGAATTTCTGTCACTAGTACATATTAAGAGCTCTTCTCTAGATTTCGTGCTGGACTTTATATAAAAAACTTTAAAGGGGTTTGTGTAATTCAAAGTGAATCTGGTACAATAGAACTCTTTTGGCCGTAGTACTATTGTCATTGTTTATTTAGAGAACTATTTAGAGAACTAGGTTAATAAATCATTATGTTACAAAGAAGTTTGTAAATAACTGATTAAGTTTAAGACCCTATATATCATGCATAGTTAATGGCATAACAAAGAAAGAATTTCGCAATGCACATCACTACCAATAAAATGTATCATATGATAATATAATTGACGGTCTTTACGGAAACTAGAAATTGATAATGACTTTAAGGAAATATACAAAAAGAAGATAGATTGCACAGTTTTATTACTAACTGACTTGAGGCAATTAACGTTTTTAAATTATGTCGATTACAAAAGCACTGAATCATTGCTTGCGTTTTAGTTGCAACAAAGTGACTTGTGCGATTAAAATGCATAGGGAACTGCATTCAGACATTTAAATTAAATAATACGTATTTTTAAATATTACATATAAAACTGAAATATTATAAAATTTAATTTGTAAAAGCAATTGAATGTAAATATTGTGAGCGATTCATTGCAAAACTGCAATTAGAAGACACTCTTATTGCTAAAAACAATGTATATACAAAAGTGACTGCTGCCGGAACTGAAATTATTCGTCATTTTTTAAGTAACAATTACAAAATAATATTAGCTACGGTTATTTAATCTTTCAACCATCATATTTCCTAATTTTAAAATAATATATAGAGGAAAAGTTAAGTTTTTATTTTTAGTTGGAATATAATCGTCAAAAAGATAGATGTTTAAATTGACAATAAGACATGGATACCATATATAAGAGAAGTAAACTAGTGGTAAGTGAATATTAATAAATTGAAATCAAATACCAATATTTAATTTTAGTTTTTGGATGTAGTTTTGATAACAAAATTTTTTATAAATTAGCAAAGAGTTAGAAATATAAATATAAAAATGCAATAGCCTTTTGTTTGATAAAGAAAGCTGGCATGACATCATATATATATTCATCATAAACCATACACTTATTTAGTGTAAACACAAAGAAAGTATAGTAACCCAAACAAAAACCGATAATGTTGACCAAGGTCGATCCAAACACATTGTAGTAAACGTCCAATTTAACAAGCGATTTTTTGCTTAGCTCATTCGTTAAATCTAATGAGTACATTTAAAAAAAAATGTAGGGCTCAGTGTTTTAGTTTTAATTTTTTCTCTGATAATTCTTTCTGTAGGTTTTTAAAAATTATGATTTTAGTATAATGTATATTATTAACTTGTAACCCATTATAAAGAAGTCTTAAGTACTGAATTACAACATTGCCTACTCCTTATTATATTCAATTACGCTTACATTATATGGAATAGTAACCGAGAGATTTATTCCCTGTTCATTATATTCCACATTTGTTTAGTATCGTAGCTTCATTTATACATTTTGTTATGTATTTGTTATATAGAATAGTCAGTTAAGTACTGAATTACAGCATTAACTACTACTCTATATCATCAATTACGCATTCATTATATGGAATAGTAAACGAGAGATTTGTTCCCTGTTCACTATATTCCACATTTGTTTAGTATCGTAGCCTCATTTATGAATTTTGTTAACATATGTATTCGTTATATAGAATAGTCAGTTAACAATAAAATTTTGCCTTTGTATATTCGTTATATTGGGTATTCGTTATATTGGACGTCTACTCTATTTTCCCTTTATTCTCTACTTGTTTAATGTCGTTGCTTCATTTATGACTTTTGTTACGCATTCATTATATAGAATAGTCAGTCAATGACAGGGTTTTATCTTTGGATATTAGTTATATTGTACGTTTACTTTCTCTTTTCCCTACATTTCATATTTGTTTAATCTCATTGCACTTCATTTACGATTTTTGTTATGCATTCTCTATATAGAATAGTCAGTCAATGACAGGGTTTTGCCTTTGGATATTCGTTATATTGGACGTCTACTATCCCTTTTCCCTATATATTGCATATTTATTTAATCTCGTAGTTTCATTTATGATTTTTGTTATGCATTCGTGATATTGAATAGTCAGTCAATGACAGGATTTTGTCTTTGGACATCTCTTGAATTGGGTATTCGTTATTCGTTACTTGTTTAGTTTGATAGCCTCATTTATGATTTTAGTTATGCGTTATGCGTTATATAGAATTGTCAAAGACAGAATTTTGTCTTAAGGCATTCCATAAATTGAGTATTTGGAAACAACTAATGACGATAATTTCTCAATAATTTTTTTTCACGGAAATTCTAATGCGTAAAAAAACTAGACTTTCAATCGAAATTTATCTCATATAAACCATATAGATCGAAGTCACATTTAAAATATATATTCTACTAGATACTTTTGATATATCTATTTATTTTGATTCGATTTGATAATAATCAAATTTCAAATTAAACCGATTGTGCCTATACCTTCGATATTTTAAATACAGGCATACACGCAGTAGATGAACTCCAATGCTGAAAAATGCCGGATATGAAAAAAAAATAATAAGAAAAATAATAATTTTTTTTTAAACAATACTTTGCAATAAATAAATTTTTAACCTCTTTCAGTGCATAAAGCACACTTCGAAAAATGTCACTCATACCCCCGACGTCGCAAAATTCTTAGGGCTGCGCTAGGCTGCTAAATTATATATTAAGATTCAAGAGTGACTCGAAAGCCACAATTATCAAGTTGGAGAAGTTTCATTCTTTATTTTTGTTTTCAGTTTTGTTTTTGTTTTTGTTTTTGTTTTGTTTTTTTTTACAAATATAAAAATTTATTTAAATAATTTTAACAAAATGCGCGTTCGTTAAAGATCAAGTTCAATGAATATGCACGCAGTGTCTTTGCACTGTGTGACAACAAATGAAACAAATGAAAGCACATTTAATAATATGAAAGAAATAACAACAACAATAACAATTATAACAACAAGAAGAAATAATAACAACACTGCCTCATCGCGCAAAAAACAAAAAGAATAAAAAAAAAAACAAAAAAAAAATATTAACCTCTGCGACAATGCCAGCCAACAACATCAGCAACAAAAATGAATTTTAAAATAGCGATTACAAAACACAATGCTCTTTACCGCACGCTCGCACCCGTCACAGTGCCGCAGCGGTGCCGCAACGCCACCGACAATGCAACGACGGACGACAATGAAAAAACAACAAAAAAAAAAACGAAAAACATACACAGCAAAAAACTCAACAACTCAACAATTTTTCCAACACAAAATAAATTTTACAATAAACAATAAATTATGTGTATTAAAATTAAAATTAAAATTAAAATAAAAATTATAGCCAAAACATGTCGAAATAATTTAGAACTGAATGTGTGTATAAAAAGTTTATAAATAATTAAACAAAAATATAACAAAAAGAAACATACCCAAAAAATAATTGCGTGTGCTCTGATGGCATTTCGCGTGGATTATGCACATTCAAAGTTTGTGGACGCATGTAGGTTGGTTGCGTTGGTGTAATTATCGCTGAGGTTGAACTACTGCGAAACGTTGCTCTAACTTTAATGCTGGTAGTGGAGGTGGTGAAGTTGTTGCTCGCTGACCAACAGCTGTCATTATTTAGTACCACTTTAGTGCACATTTGCTCGTTGTCATCTTTTGCTCCTGCCGTCGTTGACACGACTGTCATTGCCGCCGTTGCTGTTTTCGTCGCTGAATTAAGTACTTCAGCATTTAGGCTCTTTTTTTTTAATTTACCACCAACACTGCTTGCGTTCAAGCATTTCTCATTGGGATTGCAACAATTGCCGCTATTAGCTTTACCCTTCAAAAAATTATGGGTATTATTGGTAACGCCGGCGCCGTTTCTGCTATTCGTGTTGACAGGTTTAGCGCGTAAGCCCATTTTATTAATTGTCCTTTTATTACGTTACAACAATAATATTTTTTATAACTTTTTGTTTTCGATATTGGCTTCTGTTTTATTTATTATTTTCCGCAATTTTGCGCATTTATTATTCACAATTGATATTGCCTTCGGAAGTTGTGGCCATTTTTTAAGCTTTAATTAAATTGTGGCACTGATAGAATCAATAAAGAATTTTTCGAGAAAAAAAAAATTGATTAAAAATAGAAAGGACATAACATTTAAATGAAATTATAAATAAAATTTAAATGAGAGTAGTGATGTCAATGATGACTATACGAAGATCATGATACTTTCACCCAGGCTACGATGATGCAGACAGAATTCGGAAATGTACTGGAAAACGGAAAATTTGACATACCATACTTAAAAATTTTTCTGTAAACACTATTAACTTAACAGGTTAATTAATTTATAAACTGTGTGTTATATTGTAGTTATATCTATTATAATTCATGGAATACCATCAACAAGTAGATAATTAGGTACACACTAATATAAAAAAGACGACGACGATCAGATGTTGAAAATGTATGAATATATACATAAAATGTGTCCTACGCCGTTGTTCTAAATTACGGCCTTTTAGACAAGTTTGTTTTGAATTAGTGAATCTTTAGTGGAAGAGAAAGTAATCAGTGTGCCTGATGAGAAAAATGACACCGATTGGAAAAGATTGATTAACTACCATACATTATTAGTGCTTTGAAATACAGAAAACTAATTATAAACCAATTTGATACTTTCTATTAAAATTTAAAAGCGATAAGCGATTAATTTGAGTTCTTTATATTTTCATTTTTGAATTGTAAATAGTTTTAAGCTAGAAGGCAAATTTATATAAATTCAACATCTTCGAGAGAAGACTATCAAGTCATTGTTGTATTCTTTATTTTTCAGGTAACTCCAATCGATTTCTCTAGATTTAAGGCATAATACTTATGTTAAAATATTTTGAATTAAAGAAGAAGTATCGAGTATATATCTGTACATGAAATTTTTTTTCTGTTTGAAAAGTAAGGTGAAGTAGTAGCAGAATCGAATCCACTTCTTTTGTGAAACTCATTGAACACATTCAAATGTGTTTAACAATGGAGCAGTCAATAGTTTATGCTTAGTTCTGAATAAGCCTAAACATAGTACAACAGGTGCTCTACTGTCTTTTTTTCGAGTACCGATCGACATGAGTTATAGAAGTTTCGACAGGGCAGGCCGAGCATGGCTCCAAGCCGTGCTATATAATGTTAGCCAACGGTTGTCGACGTCGACTATGTTAGGCGCAACATTGAATACGTTTATACAGAGGCATTCTATTTAAGTACCGGAATATGTTATTTTATTCTATACCTGTTTGTTCTGGTCATGATTAGAGCAATGGTTTAGTAACTCGTGTTCGTAATACTCTTATGAAAAAAAGGGGGATTCCAATGTTCAACAGGTCTAGCAGCGGTTCAAATAGGTGATTAAAAAAATACACATACACAAATTTTGTCTTTTATTTTCTTTTAACATACATGTCTTTTACACATATACAAATTTATGCACAGTTCGTATAAATGCAATTCAAGCTGTGGAAATCATCTAGTGTGTTCTCATGTAAAAAAATTGATATGTTGATCATATCAATTCAAAAAGTAATGCAGTTCGTCCAAGGCATAATGTATATAAATACAAGTATCATTATGAACAATTGCGTATTTATTTCATTAATAAAGTTAGTCAGATAGCTTAAAGTTACTAACACCTTTAATTTGCTTAAGATTCAATTGGATTTTATAGATGAATTCACCTTTCGAAAAGAATACATAAAGATAACAAAATTTACTTCTCGTTTATAGTTTTGTATTCAGTTTTTTATAATTCAGTGGTTTCGGTAGAGGTAAAGCAGATCTGCGTACACTTAGACATCGGTCGAAGTATTATGTTTTCATATATTACTGGTAGTAACAATAACACCATTTTTAAAAACGATATGACTGACGACTACTAGTAGTTTTTTTTTGTAACATTCAGTATAAGGAGGTTATACAATTTTATCATAAAGTTTAAACTACCATATGTAGTTAATATATGTATATCGGAAAAGGAAAAAATTTGTTTTATATATATCAAGTATATCAAGAACATCCCTATTAAAGCTATTAACAGTGGTACTAATGTAAGAAAATAGTTATTTAAGATATTTCAAGTCCCCGCCGTTTAAAATACAAATTACGAATACTTCTTGAACATTGATTGCATTATGTTTATCTATAGTAATATATGTTTATATCGCAATTTCAGTTTTTATTTTATATAAAAACAATTAATATTCTGACAGTCATCTATTTAATACAAATATATGTACATGTACGCAAAAGGTATTCATATGTAAGGCTACAAAATGTTTTTATTACATTTCAATCACATTTAGAAAGAATTTAGAAAATTGATATATCTTAGCCTAAATTTATTTGTAAGAAAGTGACTACTTTTAATATTAAAAACAGGAAGTAAGTAAATATAACATAATTGGTTAAATCGTTTACATTTGTACCAGGCTTTGACTTATATCGTTTTGGATTGGCTAATCTAGTCTGACTTTTTAACCCGAGATTGACCCGAGTTAGAGTAAATTGATGGTAAATTGAGAGAAATAGTATATAATGTCGGTATGGCAGCGAATATTGGTATTTACCAGAATTTCGAATAGAGTACATTAAATAAAAATTAGGTGAATTACGTGTTACCATTGTGAATATTTTATAAGATGTTTAATAAATAAATAAAGAAATTTTGAAAACTTTTGACCAAAAATAATAAATAACTGCAATAATTGAATATTTACATATGTTAAGTGCAGTGCAAAAAATCCCTAGGAAATTTCAATTTACTTTACCTTAATTTACTCGAATTCGCACTTGGCCTAAGTATAGTTTTCATTTCATTTTCGATTGGTTAAACGAAAGCGAAATTTATAACATTCGATATTTAATTTATAACACTCTAGATACTACGCCATATTAGTAAAATTACTCTAAAAATAACAGCTGTTTTATATTATTTGACAAGAGTATTTAGAGATTACCCTGAACATGTTCGATTGTGCCACAAAATTCGAGCAAAAAATGGTAGATCGAGTGCAAATCTAGATTTACCATTCGATATAAGAATTTAGAGAACTATTTCAATACTAGATTTGGTGTTGATCACGTTACGTGAGAAACAAGTGCTATTAATTTTTATTTTTAAAACATGATTAGTTGTTGAGTTTTATTTATAAGATAAATTGGTGGGATATATTTTCTTACTTCCGTCAGAGTGGGGTATGAGAGTTCCCATACCCATAGAGAGTGTGTGGAACATTTAGCATTTTATTTGAATTTCGGTAAATTGTATTGAAATATTTTCATTCATACCTGTCAATATAGTTTGTAAATATATTAAAAACTGCAATCTATTTTAATTATATAAAAAATAAAACAAAATATTGCCACTGCCAATAAAACGTATACAAAACAAAAATTTTACACGAAGAACACAAATATTAGCATTTGTACGTATGTATATATAAAGGCAAAATAAAAGGTAAAACAAAAATAAAAACATAAAGTAGAAAATACAAAGCAATAAGCACAAAGCAAGAGAAAAACTATATGGTAAATGGGTGTTATATTTAGAAATGATGAACCAAAACGCGTCGTCTAACAAACCAAGCGCAAAAGTGCCGCGCGCAGCACAGCCCAGCGATCCAACTTACAAAGCACTGCGCAGTGCGCATAGAGTCTTGAAGAGCAGCTTGTTTCTGCCTTGTAAAATATAAACAAAACAAAACAAACGACCATAATATGTGTCTCTTAGTATAGCTCATCTATACTAAGGAACTGAGGAACTGGGGAACTGAAGAAGTCAACAAAAGTGTACATATGCCGAAAGTACAAAAAAACTATTTCACGTTGAGGACGTTGGTGTATTTTTTGATCCCGCATTATATGCAAAAATTTATGTCAATGAAAAATAGTATAGAAAATAATATTAAAACAATAACAGTGAAATTATTTGAACCCACATATCGAAGCGAAAGTAGCCCTCAAAGACATGACTAAGACGACATCGATGAATTCGATGAATTTGATGATTTCGTAATATAAAACAGGGCTCGCCCGACAGATAATGAGTTAAGTTTGTTAATATGATTAGCTTTATTAGCAAAATTATATAAATGTGAAAAAAAAAAGAATAATAATATAATAAAAAAGAATTAAACGTGTCTTGAAAAGTTGTTTAACAAATATTTAAAACTGAATGATTATTATGAAAATATTGTAAATATGTTATATGGAATGTCAAACAATTGTTTTTCTTTTATATTAGTATTATGAAGCTTTCTTATTTTGTTTATATTTATAAAATATTAAATAATATTTTATTATTATTATTATTATTATTATTATTATTATTATTTAATCCTTTTATTCCTAGGTGGAACAGAGGGCCGTAACAAATAGTTTCCATTGAACTCTATCTAATGCAAGACGTTTTGTTTCACTCCAGCTCTTTCCAGCATTTCTTAATTCGGCTTCAGTTTGTCGTTTCCAAGTGTTGCGCGGACGCCCTGGTCTTCTACTGCCTTGAGGGTTGAAATCTAAGACATTTCTTGCGATATCATCAGCGGGTTTTCTTAACGTGTGGCCAAGCCATTTGTATTTGCGCATCATTATTTCATCAGTTATAAGAGGCTGATTCGTTCTAAACCAGAGCTCATTATTGGTTATGGTTGCTGGCCAAAATACATGAAGGATGCGTCGTAGACAACGATTGGCAAAGGCTTGTAGCTGTTGTGCGTCTCTTGCCGTTAGGTTCCAACTCTCACTACCATATAGTAAAGTTGATTTTACGTTTGCATTGTACAGGTGTATCTTAGTGCGTTGTGTGATGTTGGATGAACGCCAGATTTTGTTAAGGGTTCCAAACGCTTGTTTCGCTTTCGATAGCCTGTACTGTATGTCTTGCCGACTGCCGCCGTTGTTCGAAATGTAGCTTCCCAGATAGCAGAAACTTTGTACATCTTCGATGTAGGAGCCATCTAGTTGAAACTTCGTTAAGCAGTTTGAATTGAGACGCATAGACTTGGTTTTGTTGATATTGATTGACAGACCAGCTGCCAATGCACGC